AGGGGTCAGGAAAGGACAAATGCCAAACGACGGCCAGTTTCCTAAATACCTGTCATCCCCCTGACTGCCACACCAGGGCACACTATTAAGAATTTCAAAACTGAAAAGAAAAACAAAATAATTTTTTAAACGGCATACTTTTGGGCTTTGTCAGTGGCTTTTAGAAAGCCCTTGTAATGCTAAAAATAGATCCTTTTTCTGCCAGATGAGTCCACAGCCTTGAGAGCTTCCTGTTTCTTTGGTCTTCCCGCAGGGGCAGGCTAACATGTGGGGCTTGCAGCAGGGGCATCTACATTTCCCCAGTGGTTGTCTTCTCCTGTGCCCCTCCTGTCACATGGCAACTGCCGAGCTGGTGGGAGGGGATGGAAGAGAAACTGGGGCATCAGTGATTCTGATCTCCGCTCAGCTCACCCATTCCACATCAGTGGAGGTGACACAAACAGAAAGCCTCACAGCGCCACCGCGGCCACTGGCGGTGGGGGTTGGCAGTGCAGGCAGCATGGCCAGTCTCCACCTGCCCCGGCTTAGGAAACAGGAGAGCTGGACTCCGGCATCTTCTCAGAATTCCTCTGACTGATTTAGGCCGCATGCCCTGCCGTAAACACTTGAGCCATTGTCACAATAAGCTTCACCAAAACTCAAACAAAACCTCGGAGGAAACCAAAGAGCCGAAGTAAAGCTTTCTTCTCTGCGTACCACTTTCTTTGCAAACATCCCGACCTCGGCGGGCATTTGGTGGATGCTTATCTCCTCATTCTTCTAATTCATCTGATATGATGCCACCTTTATAATTTTACTAAAACGAAAACAAACTACTGGACACAACAACAAAATGATTTTTAGTCTTGGGTTTTCCAGCAAGGTATACAAAGGCTAGGCTGGAGACATGCCCTGTGAGCAAAACATTCCTCAAACTTATTCTACCTATTCTGAATCTTTTAATGAGACCTAAAAAACAAAGAGGATAATTATATCTTGCACAACAAACTTGGCTGTGTAGGAGAGAACTGCCCTAGGGGAGATTAGCACACAAAGGCAGGAGGATAAAGGGAAAGATACGGACTGAAAAGTTTTCTAACTATAGATGTTTCAAAAAAACTATTTACCATACCTAGCATTTTTTATTAAAATGTGCAATCAATGGTTCCAGGTCTAGTGTTAAGAAAAATAAGACTTCTGGTTTCAATCCCAATTACAATTCAAAATTCAGTTGCTTAGGACATTAGACTGAACCAATAAAATCCAGTCTACAGTGTGAAAAGTCTGTGTTCCTGGGCAAAAAATGGAAGAGATGGAGGCCTCCCGCGGGAGCACTGCTGGTAGGCTCACCCGACTTCTGGGCTGAGCATGGTGTCCCATCATACTCCATGTTGTGAGACCGGTGGACCTAAATCCTAGGCAGCACTGTGCAAAGAATAGGGTTTGTGCAGCGACAGCAGTGCACAACCAGAAGCAAAGCAAATGCACAAACGCTAAGTAACTTTGTCGACACTCTTCTGTGCCTCAGAGAATCCCAACGCACACTTCATTTCCTGATCTGTCAGCCTGTGTCTTGGCAATAGTGAGACCTCGTTTCATTTTTCACTCTGCACTGTCTAGTTCTGCAGGGAGTAGTTACTTGAGGCTATTTAAATTTAAATGAATTAAAAATGAGTCAGTTTTCCTGTCACGCTAGCCGTATTTTAAGTACTGAGTGGCTACGTGTGGCTGATGGGTACAGCATAAATGCAGACTGAAGAGAACATTTTTAGGATGAGAATTCTACTGTCAGTGCTGCTTACACCGTACATACTAAGGGGCAGTTCACTTTATTCTCAATATTCTGTGGGCAGATACTGGCACAGAAATGTAGAGGCCTATGTAAGGATCCATGACAAACGAGCCTTAGGAACAATTTAACCAACCTCTCCGGGGGCCTAGCCTGCAGATGTTGCTTGGTCTGTCCTTCTCTGGACTGTGCCTTAACGTGAAGTGTCACTTACGCAGCACAGAGCCACAAATACCCTGCCGCCTTGGGGTCACATCAGGAGACCTCAGTGTTAAGTCGGAAGACAACCGCACCTGATTCCTATGGTACACTATGGTTCTGCCATCACCACTGGAGGTAACTGGCAGAAAGTAGTTCACCTAATTTTCTATGTTCGTCTTTAAATATTTCAATGATTTACAAAATTGCAATAGGCAAAAATTATTAAAGTTATGCATTAAGTGACACATTTAAGACAACACTGTTATCTTATTATTCGATGTACCCAAACTGAGCGTGAAGGAAGGTTGAATGGGTTTAACAGCAGAGAAAAGGCCAACTTTTTACTTTGAAGAAATAAAATGCCACGCTTAAGAAATGATCTAACACTGGGAAAATTATACTAGGGAGTATAACAGTAGCAATAACAACAACAGCAAACATGTGTACCTGTTGTGACAGGCATGTCCTAAGGGCTTTCCGCATATTAACGCTGTTTTTACTCAATCCTCCAGTCTACCCATGAAGCACTGCCATGTTTCTCTATTCTAGGAAACATAGAGAAACCATTTGTGCAAGATCAGTTAGGGAGCACCAAGATTTGCACCCAGGCACGTGGCTCCAAAGGCTGTGCCCCTATCACAAGGCCACACTGCAATGCCACCAAGCTCTGAGGAAAACTAGTCCTGCCTGCCTAGATTCAAGCAGCCAATACTCTACTATCTTTATTCTAAATTCTGGGGACAAGCTCACTTTATAATTAGCATGTACACCTTCTCTGTGGCTTTCCTTGAGTATTTTTTTCTTTTTGTTCATTAGTGTAGTTCTGAAAGTATAAACACAGCTCTACTCCACAATACTTAGTTAATAGTTGATACAAAGAAATGCAGTAGGTACTACTGTATGTACAAAAAATCGGAACTCTAAACCTGGGTCTAATGGACATATTAAAATAAAATTATTTTTCTTTGTAATTATTTTCATACTCTGAGCTACTTGGATTTATCTTTATTTTACTAATTCCTCTCCATGTTTGTACCAAAGGTTCCACAGTACAAGTTCAAGAGTTCATAATTTTAACCACCAAAAGCCTATCTTTCAAGAACAAAAAAATCTGGGAGGTTGTCACAGGGACCTTTCCAAATTGGTAGCTAATTTATTCCTCTTTTGGACAATTCTACCTTAAAATAGTACAGGAAACCCAAAAGTCATACGGTAGCATTAGTTAGCTAAAAAGTAGGTGAGAAAGGTTTTTCTGGGGTTCAGGGTACGGCATAGCTGAGCGGAAGACTGGGTGCTCAGCATGCATGAGGCCCTGGGCTCCATGCCCAGCACCAAACCTAACCAAGCCAAAAGATTTTCCTCAATATTTTGTTGTTGGTCTTTCAGTGAATGGATAAAACTCTAGACAGAAAAAAAAAAAAAAAAAAA